TGGGCAGAGACGCGGGCGGCCTGTGGCGGACGGGGCTTGGGCGGAGCGGCGGGCCCTGAAAGCAGGAAGTCCCCGCTGGGGGGAGCGAGGGGCCGGCCGGGCTGTGATCGCGTATTCTACGGTGTTCGGGTGTTCGAGCAGGCGCAGATACCCCCCCCCCCCCCTGGCTCTCCTTTGCTTTCTGCCGATCGCCAGGCGCGCCAGGGACCGCAGGCCTGGACGAGGGGCGGGGCGCAGGCCAAGTGAGGTACCGGGGGGGGGGGGACCGGCCAGTGAGTGGGCTGCTCTCGGCAGGGCCTTTCTCGTTCTCCCGCGCGCGCGCGCGCGCGCAGGGCATGTCGTGTTTGAGATTTGGTGTGGTTGGTACGCGCGGCGGCCGCCCTATGGAGTGCGCCGGACGGGGCTCTGGTGCCCCCTATGCCTGAGTGCCCCCCCCCCCCTGGAGTGCGCCGGACGGGGCTCTGGTGCCCCCTATGCCTGAGTGCCCCCCCCCCCCCTTCCGAGAGGGGCGGGGGGTGGTTGTGGCGGGCGACCTGCCGGCGCCCCCCCCTCTCGAGGGGCGGGCAGGAGACCCGATCCCCGGTGTTCCACCCCCCCCCCTGGCAGGGGCGCGCACGATCCCCGGCCGCGCGAGCTCCCGCCATCCGAGGCCCTTTTTTGGCGGGCTACCCATTTCCCATGGTTCACCTTTGAGGCCTCTACTCTGGTTTGGTTTTCACTTCGGTTCATGTATGTTTCCCCTCTTTCTTGCCTCTCCCTCCCCCCTGTTCCTCCGCGCCCCCCTCCCCCTCTGCTGCGCATGGCTGCATGTTCCCCGCCCTCTCCCCTCCGATGTGTCGTCCGGCGCACGCGCGCGCTCTCTCTCTCTCTCTCCCCCCTCCCGGGTCCCGAATTGTCCTTCCCTCCTTCCCCGCCCCTCCTCTCTCCCGAGGGGAGCAGGAGGACGGGGAGCAGGCGGCTGTTTCTCCGTCGCGACTTCTTGGCGTCTGCCGCGCGCCGCCACTGTCTCCTCCGCCCGCCTGGCATGCGTTGTATATCCCATCCAGTATGGCCCCGGGCCTCGATCGCGCGCTCCCCCCTGCCGTGTGGATGCACCTGCCGCCGCCTCAGGCCCCCCTCCCCTCAGGGGGACGCCGTATGCGGTCCGCGCGCGTGTTCCTCCCATGAGCAAGCCCCTTCCTCTCTACGCCTGGCCGATCGCCCGGCTGGCGTGTGTCTGGAGGGCTGGTTGCGTCCTCTCGAGTCTGTTCGCGCGTGTCATGGTCGCACGCGCATGGGGGGCCCACTTTCTCGGATTCAGAAAAAATAATCTGCATCCGATGAGGCGCGCGCCCCCTCCAGCGCCCAGGCCCTCCCCGGGGAAAGGGAGCGCCGTGTTGTGTCCCTTCGCCAGCATGCACACACGTCGCCTCCCGAGTACCGCTGCCCTCCCTCTGTGAGTGGAGGCGGAGCAGCCCGTGTGTCGGCCATTCTCTCCTCCTTCCGAGGGGGGCAGGGGTTGGTGCTGCTGTGTGTTGTCAGTCCTTGGCAATGGGCCGAGGGGGAGAGAGAAAGAGAGATCCGTCGACTGCGTGTGTGGGCGTGTGCGCATGCGCCCTGCGTGTGCCGCTCCGTGTACCGACATGTCCGAGTGGTGGTGGGGCTGGCGCACGCGCGCGCGCGCGCGCGCACTCGCCTCCCCTCACATCTCCCTCCGCCCGTCTTCTATTTATGCGCCCATTTCGCGGTTTTCCTGACACGTCTGCTCCTCCCTGTTTCTCCTCCCCCTCCTCCTCACAGTCCTTACTAGGTTATCAACCATGTCCTCCGTCCAGGTCTTTGGTCGCAAGGTTCGTCCCTCGCCGCTGGCTCTCGTCTCCGCCGCCACCGCCGCCGCGCCCGTTTTGTTCGCCACCGCCGCCGCGTACGCGCTTGTCACTGACCCGGTCCTCTGCGCGCGCCCATTTGCTCTTGCTCTCCTCTCCACTGGGTGTGTGTGTGTGTGTGTGTGTCGGGCGCCCTACGAGTAGAAGACCGCGACTGCCGTCGCTCACACCAAGGCTGGTAACGGCCTCATCAAGGTCAACGGTGTCCCCCTGCACCTGATCCAGCCCGAGGCCCTCCGCCTTAAGGTCCAGGAGCCCATCCTCCTCCTCGGCAAGGAGCGCTTCGCCAACGTCGACATCCGCGTCCGCGTCTCCGGTGGTGGTCAGACTTCCCAGATCTACGCCATCCGCCAGGCCATCGCCAAGTCTCTCGTCGCCTTCCACCAGAAGTGTACGTCTCTCTCTCTCTCTCTTCGCCCCTCCCTCCGGGGGATTGCGCCCGCGTTGTGCTTCTCTCCTTGCTGTGGCGCCCCCTCCTGCCGGCCGCTGTGCTGCCCGCGCGCGCGCCCCCCCCTTGCAGATGTCCCTGACTGTGTGTGTGTACCCCCGTCCCTTTGCCCATATCCCCCCTCTTCCTTCAGACGTCGATGAGGTCTCCAAGCGCGAGATCAAGGATATCCTCATCCAGTTCGACCGCACCCTCCTCGTTGCCGACCCCCGCCGCTGCGAGCCCAAGAAGTTCGGCGGTCCCGGTGCCCGTGCCCGCTACCAGAAGTCCTACCGCTAATGGTGGGAGGTGTCTGCTTCACAGATTCTCTCCGAGTCGCCTTCCCCTTCTCTCCAGACAGTGTGCTTTTGTTGTCGCCTTGTAACTAGAGATAAACACCAGATTTCTCTACCGCGCCCAAAGGAACATCGATATCGTGTGTGTCTCTCTCCCCCCCTCCCCCCTCTCGTGTGTGTGTGTGTGTCTTCATTCTCCCTTGGGTTGTGTGTTGTCGTCTCTCCCTTCCTTCCTCCTTTCAAACACGGGGCCCCCCCCCTCCCCAGCGCGCGCGGGAGGGCGAGAGCAGCGGGGGGGAGCCTTTTGGTGGGGGCGCCGGGCAAAAGGGCCTGGTCCCGTGGCTGGTGCGGGCGGCGGGGTGGCTTCGCCTTTTCGCCTACCCCCCCGGCTCCGCTCTCCTGTCCCCTTGGCGGGCGGGCGGCGAGGGCCCGTCGTCTGGGTGCATGCATGTGTGGTAGTTTGTATTCTTTCCTTCTCTGCGTTTCTGTGCTGCGTGCATCCACAATTGTGCGGCCATGGCGCCGGGCGGGGACGTCCTCACCAAAATCTTCGCCGTGCCTGCGTCTCGCCCTCCCCCCCCCCCTGCGCCGTGGGATATGGTGGGCACTGCATCCGGGAAACGGGGAGAGGGCGGGGGAGATTAGTCTCTCCTCCACAGCCCGGGAGCGCTGCGAGCAATCGGAGCCGGCCATTCCCGGCGGCAGGCGTTCCGAGGGCGCAGGCCTCCTTGCCAGCATCCGCCTGCGTGGGGATGCGATCGATCCCGGTTGGTGCGGGGCTGGCGCACTTCGACCGTTGTTGGACCCTTTCCTGTTGCGTTGGTTTTCCATAGGCGCCTGATCGCCCCACGTCCCGCCTGCGGTGGCGCCGCCCGCGTCCGGTTCGCGCCCTTCTCGCGCGGCGGACACACCTCGAATCCGCCTCGGACAGGCGACCACCCGCGGCGCCAGCCCTCCCTCTCCCCCTGTCGAGACCCAAGCAAGGGCGGGGCCTGCTCGAGTCGGGAGCCGCTCTGGCCGCACAGAAAACCTGCCCGCGCAAAAAAGGGCGCACGGGCTGCGTCCACCAAGCGTTGCATTCTTGTGGACAGCTGGAGCAACGACTACTGGTTCTACTATCCCGGACCGGGCTATCCCGCCCGCCGCCTGGGGCATGTGTCCGCCCCGCCGGGGTGGGGGGGGGGGGGGGGGGATTCCGATCGGGCTCCTCGCGCGCCGCGGAAAATCGTCTTCCCGCTTCGGCAGCCCCTGCGTTGTGGGCGTCCGCGGAGACCCGGCCTTCTTGGGCCCTTGCCGGAGTGCCCACGTATATGCCATTTCCGAGCAATATGCCCTACGCGGCTGCAGGCCCCCCCCCCCCGGAGTTGGGGGTGGCCAGGGGATGCCGTCGGATCTCGGCTCGGTTTACCTCGGCACTGCGGGGCTGATCTCGTTGGCCCCTGACGCCCCCCGCACACCACACCTTCCTCCTCTGGGCATCGGCCAGCCGGGGGGGGGGGGGGGGGGGGAGGTAGCGAGTCGGCGTCCATGCACTGGCATACATTTATCGACGCCCATCGGCAAGCACCTCCCCCCCGCGCCTCCTCCCCACCCCCCAGTTCTCGCCCAAGCATCTCCCGTGCCCCCCGCCCCCCCGCCCTCCGCCCCCTCTTCCATCGACCCGCCAACGCCACACCTTCCACACCTTCCAAGGCCACTCGTCTCGATTGCTGTTTCGCAACGGTCCGAGCCGATACCCGCGTCCCCTCCCCCCTCCGACAGCCGCCTTCAGGAAAAAAAGGAGGCTACCGCGCCCGAACCACCCCACACCGCCTCGAAGACACACACACACATACACACGCACAGGCACATTCGCGCGTCTCGGAGCCCCTCGTTGCCCCTTCGCCGACCCACTGTCCCCCCTGCCAGCCACTACGCGGCACATGCACACTGTCCGGGAAGCCTCCCACCTGGCTATGCTGCCTCCATCCAGATCGAACCCCCGCAGCTGCCCCATCGACCCGCCACCCAACCACAAAGTGCCCTCGCGCCCTGCCGCCTCCACTGCCGCGACTCCGCCCCAACCATAGCCCTTTCAAGAGACCGAGAGAAAAGGAACGAAAGACCGAGCAGGTGAATGAGTGAAGTATGAGCCCTGTCCGGCACATGAAAAAAGGCAAGAAGTCCGCGGCTCGACGGGGCCATGCGCACTCGTCGTCCCGTTCCCCCTCAGCCAGCCCCAGCCCCAGCTCCAGTCCCCCGCCAGAGGGAGACTCCAGCGACGACACCGGCCATTCGACCGGGCACCAGAAAATCGTCGTCGCCCTGGCGAACCTCTTTTGCGAGAACTTCTCGATGGCGCAAATACGCGCCACGCTGGCCGACATCGCCCAGGAGACCATGGTATCCGATGGCGACCTGTTGCTTGACATGTGTACCGAGCGCCTGCACGCCGAATTGGCCCGCGCACAGTCCAGCACCATCAGGCCCGCGCCCGAGACATTCGGCCCCCGATCGGCTGACAGCAGCAGCCTTTCCGACGAGCAATTCATGCAGGCAATGATCGACCAATTGGAGTCCAACGACTTCCGAGACATGCAGCTGGACATGGACCCCGATCTCTTGGCGCTCCTTGAGGAGCAGTGCCTGGTACATTGCCCGTGCATCGCATGCCCACTTTGCCCATCTCAGCGCTCCTCTGACAGCCTCTCGCCCCCTCGCCCCCTATCGTCCCTCCCTGGGTGCGCCGTGCTCGATTGCAGGCCCAGGCATCCGATGAGGCCCTTGCCCGGGAGCTGCAGGCCGAGGAGGATGAGCGCGCCCGCCTGCAGGAGGAGGCGTATGAACAGGATTTCCGCCTGGCTATGACTCTTCACGGCCAGGAGAATTTCACGCACCGACTGGAGCCTACGCGCGCGGGGGCCTCCTCCTCCAACCCGCGGGCGGCTGATAGTCCAGCCAAAGCGGCCGCTCGGACGGCCATGCGCAAGCGAGTCCGCGCCCTGCGATCTGTCTATCGACAGCACGGCGTGCCGGATGAAGGGTTCGATGCCATTTGGACGCATATCGCCAAGCTTCCCCAGTTGTCGGACACCGCACGCCTTAATCGGCTGCAGCAGTCTCTCGAGCGTGTGGTTCGCCTGCAGGCAGCCGGCGGAGGGAGCCTCGTTGATGGCTCCCGGTCATGGGCTGATGTGGCCACCGAGAGCGCGAGCAGCCCGACTCCCGCGTCATCGGCTCCCCCTTCGCGGTCCCCCTCGCCGCCCCCGGCGTCGGCCGCGGTTTGCTCCCCGTCATGTCCGCCTTTGTTCTCTTCGGCGACCATGCCGGCTGGCGCCCCCTGGCCGGATGGCGACTTGGAGGAGCTCCACTCCCGCGGGTACCGGATTAATGGCAACCAGGCGAACTTCTTCTCCACCACGCTCCCCCCTTTGCGGCGTTTCTACTTCCGAGTGGAGCACATTCGCAGTGCAGTGCAGATGCAGGGGAACGGCTCGCTGCCGAGCAACATTCCGGCCCTGATCTTCCTGCTGAAGCTGGCCCAGTCTACGCGCCAGCAGACGTCCAGCGCCCTTCCCGCGCTTTCCGCCGACTACCGGCTGTACTTCGAGCATTACGAGGAGCTACGTGACTGGGTGGTGGAATTGCGCCTCCAGCACATTTTGGCCACATGTCAGCGGCTTGCTCCCGGGGCCATGGCGAAGATTGATCTCCATGGTCTGGATCGCATAGCCGCCATGGATATCCTTCGGCAGGTCATCAGTCGGGCGCCGACCTGTGCGTGCCCATCTCCCCCTGCCTCCTCCTTCTCCCTTCCTCTTTCTCTCTTTCTCCCTCCTTTGCTCTCTCTCTCTCTCTCTCTCTCTCTCCCCCCCCCCTC